CTCCATCTTTAAATAACTACAAGGTGAATGTGTTATATTATATATGTGCAACAGAGACCAGATATTCAAAAGCCCAACACATCTGATCATTGGAAATGTAGTTTCTTGTAGTCCTAATTTCCAAGTAATAAAATATCTCTGTATCTTAACATAACGCAGTGAGAAATTTAGTGAAATAAAAATAACAAAAACAGACAGGACAAATTAGCTGGCCTGGTTGCAAGGTATCTTAGATATACTGATGACCAAGGCTTTTTTTCCCCCCCCAGAAAAAAGAGTGGCGGTACTCACCATAAGTGTCTAAAAAGTGCAGGTACCTACCAAAGAGTCTAAAAAAGATGCCAGTAACACTAAAAAAGGTCTTTAAAAAAACATACCAGTACCTACTACAATTCCAGAAGTACTGAAAAAAATGATGCCTTTAAAACAAAAGGTAGTGTATCACTGAGCACCACCACTAGAATAACAAGCCCTACTGAAGACAGTTTATTAACAGAGTTCGAGTTGGAAATAAAGGAACACTGGAGCATATAAACAGGCACAGTGCAGAATTGAGATTTCATATTCTCCATTTGGGTTCCATTTTGGAGTAAACATAACGTTACCCCCTAACTAGGATGTCATAAACAATGAATTAATAATTCAGATGTGTTAGACAATAAAACGTATAGATATTGCAGCTTAGCTGTAAACCGCAACACAACATGTCAACTGCTCTTTTAAGAGTGAACATAGAAGATTACATACAATTATTATTTTAAAATTATGTTTATGATAATTAGCAACAGAAAAGGGAGGCCAACGGTGAACATCTTATTTCGTGAACAGATACCAGAACAAGTAATAAGTGTCTCTTATCCTGGACATGTAGCAGATAATAAACCTTCACTAACATGAATTTTATGGACTGAAAAGTTTAAATAAACTCCCCAAAACAAACACAAATGTTTTAACCAGGGACTATATCTCAGCTGAGATCAGAATTTTGTTCATGTAAACTTAGTGTTCTCCCTAAGCAAGTTCATGTTAAGGAGGTTTTACTTATGTCTTTTACAGCATGTTGCAAAACCAGTCCTAGTATATATATTGGCTGTTTGTGGATTAACTAGACAATTTTATGTTCAGCAGTTTGCATCTCTCTCTCTGAGCGACCAAATCAACCTAACACGATCTGCTGCCAAATTGCCTGCAACTAAGAAACACCTTGACACAGAATTCTGCTGAATGGACAGGTCTTAACTCTTTGAGTCCCAAGGGGTTTAGCATCACAGGCCCAAGGGGTAGTCAAAAGAGATGTAAAATTGGCACATCTTGCATTCATTGGGCTTCTAAGTAGGAACATATGAATGTATGATGTGTTCCTTGGGACTCAAAGAGTTAAACAGGCAAATATCAATTCCATTGCTTTACATTTGACCCAGAAAAAGATGGAGGGAACTTGAACAGACAGTCAACAGTAACGCGACCCAATGACACTCTGATGGTGTTGATTGTGAAATCCTAAACCAAAGATATAGTCGAAAGCAGAAGTGAAACAGATTTAAGAATCGACAAAAATATGTGCAACAAAATAAGGAAAATCTGAACATCTAGAAAGATAGAAAGAACATTAAAAATTAGAACTGTCAGATGTCATGTATACTCAACCCTGCTATATGGCACAAAAATCCTGACATTGAGTAAGCAATCAAAAAGTTGAACTGAGGCCCTATATATTTATATATAAGAATCAGTTGTATCTCATGTAAACAAAAACAAGAAACTACAGAGGCTTTGCTGAGACTCAGATTAACAAAAAAAAAATGCTTAAAGAAATAATAAAACATAAGCTAGATATTCCAGCAACATTAACTGATTTAACTCATAAAAACCATGCTTGATGGACAAGTTATGAGCAGGTGAGCAAGACAGAGGCACTGATATAAGTGGAAGCATAGCATCATGAGACTGACAAACATTTTGAGAGAATGTACAAATAGAGCAAAAGTGTTGAAGATTCATTTGATCTTCACTGTGGAGGTGGCACCTGACTCATTGCAAAGAAGAACAAATATTTGTCTTAACTCTTTGAGCTCCAGGGGGTTTAGCATCACAGGCCCAAGGGGTAGTCAAGAGAGATGTAAAATAGGCTCATCTTGCGTTCATTGGGCCTCTAGGCAGGAACCTATGAACGTATGATGTGTTCCTTGGGACTCAAAGAGTTAAGATTCAAATAATGAACTTAGAATGGAACAATAATTACATTTTTGAAAAATAAAGACTGAAATGGTTTGATCATTTAATGAGAATGAATCCAATGATCCCAACAATGAGAGTGTACAACAAGAAAGTAAAAAAGACAAAAAAGTAGGCGACAACTAAGAAGAAGTTGGATTAAAGGAGTCACTGACACCTTGAGACTCTACAACATCACAGCATACCCAGTAACTGAGCGTGCCCTAGCTCGGAAACCAATCATCTCTTAACCTGCAATACCTGGTGGCACAAAGCAGAAAACAAACACACAAAGTGACTGCAGGGGGTCTCTGGGTTTTTTGGCTAATATATCCTTTTTCAGCCCTCCAGAAAGTACCTAGAGAGTTTGAGAAATGCCATCCTGGTCTGAAATTTGATGAAAGGGAAAATCCCAAACTGCACCTACAAGTCGTGGAGGGTGGGAAACACACCACGGTGTGGCTAACGCAGATATGGGGACAGAGTATCCACCGGAATAAGTGGGTCACTCAGCAGCTGGGCAGAGAAGGGCACCCACTTGTCCTGAGAGTCAGAAATTACCGTCAAAGGTGCAGGTTAAAATACCCAATGTGGATGTGGAAGGCAACAGGAAACTACCACATTATTTTCCCAAGAAATTTCATGAGAAAACACAGACCGACTCACATGAACGGGATCGTGATCTGTGGAGATGCATGAGCGCCTATGCCAGTTGGCAGGGCACATGATGATGATGATCCTATTCCATGATAGATACCGTAAATATGGAAGAAATGTGGCTTTTCTGCCTACCCCCTGGACGTGAACCCGGACCACAAGGAGTTCGTCACCTGGTCACCGCGCAGTCCGGTGTAGCCAACTACGCTAGCAAGCCGGGCTACTCTATAATATAAACAGATGAATCCAGAATTGACATCAATGCACTCAGAACATTCCCAGTCGTGCTCTGTCCCCTTCTTCAGCAGCCAACAAAGTGTCGACATGCTAATAGCACCAGTAAATAGCTGAACATATAGTTGAACTCTACAACATATATAACCAGCTAGTGTCTGAAAAGGTATGGACCTCATATATATTCATTAAGATCACGAGGCAACAAGATACTATCACCAGTATTATAAGCTTAACATATTTTTTTATAGTGCTGAATGTTGAATGTTAAATTAAGAATCAACATCACAGCACTCGGGACACTCCCATAAGTGCTCAGTCCCCATCTTCAGCAGCAAGTGAAGAGTTCAAATTCCGATGGTACCAGTAACCGTCTGATTGTATATCCCTCTCATCCTTTCCCTGAGTGTTGAGTGTCGGCCAGATCCCCTGGTAACTCCTTGCAGCGCCATTCTCCTCAGACTGTAATGATCTGTCTGCACCTCTGCACTGTTCACTTGCTCCTACAGGGCCCTCACAATATCTAACTTGTCATACATCAATTCACTACCAAATGGTGCAGAGCTAGCCAGCCAGTCTATCTGCCTGCTCATTTCCCAACACATCTGCATGAACTGGAGAAAATATCCAAAGGATGCTAACTACTTGTTTCTCTGAAGCGTAGAAGTATGCATTATTTTCAAGTCAGCCAGCAAAAGATTATAGCTTCCCATAATTTCTACTCTATCCTCGAGTATAGATAAACATTTGCACAAGAAAGCAACCTCTGACAGTCCTGTACAATTGGCTCACCTCTATGGGTGAAAAACCACTCCCCGTGCGAGTCTCGATCAAAACAGAGAAAATATAATTCACTGCACCGGGTTTTACTCCACATAAGTCAGTCTCTGTGTAGAATGGCCAGTCACCATTCAAGAGTGTCGCATAAAGCATAAACTTGAGTTTCAAGTAACAGCTGCATGCAAAAAGTTGACAAAAAAAAAAAAAAGTTGGACTGAAAGTTGTGAATTCTCTGGATCAGAAACAGTGGGGTGTCTTGAAGGCTGTACCAGGCAGCAGGCCCGCTGATACAAAGAAAACATTTTCAAAGGGCTTAAACTTTCTCTAAGTTTTAAATAATCATCATAATGATAATGTGTTGAATGGCAAATAATTGTATTTCTATAAACAAAAACTTGTAAAGAGAACTTTTATACATTTTCTAAAAACAAGGAGGAGGGGGTGCACAGGACAATCTGTCAGGGGAAAAGGGGGAATGAGGTTTCAAAGTTCCTAACCCCCCAGGTTCCAGGCCCCTGCCAGACAGCTGTGATGCCAGCAGACAGGTATGTGCCCAATGTACCACAGAGGTCAAACTTGATCAAGCAGGCTGTCTTACAATGGGTCTAACTGAATTTTCTTTTGAACTCGTTCAGTAAGAAGCAATTCACCACTAATTTTATCATTTCAACTGACACGATATACTTTTCTGAATTTCTTGTGACCTATCCAATTGTTATATTTACCCATTCGGCTCCAACTCTTACTATGATGCTTCACATCCCAAACTGCCATTATTCAAGTTTCTTAAGAGGCAAACACTGATTAGTTAAGATAAACACTTTAACACCCGTTTAGTACTGAAAGTGTTAAAGAAACATTAACGGTCAGGTGGGAAGAAAACCACACTGAATTCACTTTCATTTTATACTGATGAAAGAGCTTTAGGTCATCTGTGACAGCACTGTACAAGGCATGATCTCTGCAGCTCCAGGAAAGACCCCAAGGGATCTCTAAAACACCTGCACTTGTGAACCAAAGAAAGGAGTTTCACCCATCCATCAACCTAGTGTGGCCTGAAACTTTTGTAATGATCAAACTATACTTTCATGATAGAATTGTCACTAGCAAATCTGTCACAAAATAACACAACATCTATGTTTGTTGGGATCATCTTCACCAACCGGTGGTGCAGACGCTGGTGCCACAAACCGTCTTAACTGGCCCTCCCTAAAACTGGTGCGAGGTACATTTGCATGAGGAACAGGTTTTGCATGAGTTGACGAAATGATGGATGGCGTGTTATTGTTAACTCCATTCATCGTTAATGTCATCATTGGTGGTTTATAGATATGAAGCTGCTGATTCTGTGAAGAATTGGATATTACAGAGGCCCTTGAACTGCGACTGTTAATTTGTGGTACCCTTTCTAGAAACATCTTCTGAATTATGTCCTCTGCACTCTCATTGAATTGGTCTTTGCTTGGTGGTTCATTGACAACATTTTGTTGTTTCATTATATCGTTGGACCCCTGTGGCCCAGTTGTATTGGATGTATTCTGGTTGCCAGCTGATTTGTAGTTTGTATTAGAGGCAGGCTGTTTATAGTTTCTGTTGTCTTCAGGAAAATTAGTTTTTGGAGCTGCAGTCTTTGCATTGTTGACCTTTGCAGAGTCCTGATCAGATCTATATGTGGTTGTTGTCAAGGATGTTGCAGGATTTTTTGGCAGAGAAGGCTTGTCAGAATCATCAAATGAGATGGTGACATCATCAAGGTTGGTTGCAGGTAGATTTTCTTTTTCTTCAACCAAAACCTGAAAAAGAAAAATAAGATACTGTTAATGTATCATGGATCAAGAAAATGAAAAATGCTGACATTCTTCATGCTGTACTTGAAGAATCGCTGCACTAACCTTCATCTTTGCAGATGTGGTTAGTGCCTTGTGGGAGAGCATGTACAGTTCGGAGGAGCAGATGGATCACCACAGTCTAGTGAGATTGATGCAGGGGGAAGTGACGAGAGATTCTGGCAGATGCTCGAGGCTCAGAGGAAAGGCAAGATGGACATTTAATCAGAATGCTACTGGCACCATTTGTATCGCAACTCTTCAGATGTGGACAGAGGGCTTATGAGAATGCCCCGAGTGCTGTGATATCGGTTCTTGAATCAACTCAGCCTTCACTTTTGTGCCAGGTCATACAGGTGTTCAAGGGAACGAGCGTGCAGATTATCTTGCTGACACTGCGGTTGTTATGGCTGGTCCAGTACTGGACAGAAGTGATGATATCAATGCCATGCCCTGCACTTACCGTATCGAGGAGTACCCCAAAGGACATGACTCCGTATCCATGTCTAGACTGATGGACATGGGGGTGCAGCCTCAAGCTGCAAGAAATGAACATTTCACTAAGAGGACAAAACGTTTCATTAACCAACACAGAACAGGCATCATCAGTCGTTTGACACTTGTGGAGCTTTTGAGGAGGAGATCAGAGCACCCATGGATCTGTCCGGAGTGCTGTGATGATAATCCTTTCTAATTCACTAATCACTATTTTTCATGCTATAAACTGAACAGACTGGTATATAAACAGTATCATTTCTCATAAACTGAAATATTTCAGCTCTTTTGAATGCCACAGTGGCATGCTGTTTTTACAGCAATGTTCTGCAAAGGACCTGCTATTTGATGACGACTTGTTAATTTAAAAAAAAGTTAACATTATAATCATGAAATATAATACATTCATTACATTATTTGCTTTTCAATGGAAAGAAATATTTACCCTAACAAACAGAGAACTGAATTAGGCAATATTTTCTAGTTTCTGAGTAAAACATTTGTTTCCTTAAGAAGTTTAATATCTACATTGCTAATTTTTGTCAAAAGAAAAGAGGTAATTGCATTGTCTGTTTTTAAAAACAATTTTATCATTACTTTTCTGTGGGACTGTCCCTTTATTCTGATAGTTAAGTGGCATGTTAAAGACACTAGAGATACATAAGAACATCAATGAGATATGCACAGATTAGGAGAACTAAAAACAACTTCTATAAATTTACGTTAGTAAACACAAGATTGCTGCTAATTTGATCTTTGACAACAGAAACCAACAAAAGTCAGAAGACAGGTTGAGAGTAATGTGAAAAAATAAGTAGATTTTCTAACTGCTGAGCGAAATACTTCGCTAATATAAAAACCTAGACTAATCAATTATAATATTCAGGTGACTCAGACTACTAATAACCCATCTTGAAATAATATGCAGAAAATTATTTTTATATATTGTAAACAGTCCATTCCCCCCACCCCCACCCTTTCCGCCTGTCCCCATTTTTAACCAAATCAAATCAGAAGTAATACTTTCTAATAAAACACAACTGTAAATAAGAAAAAAAACAATGCACAATTGTTAATAACCACTGTTTTGTTGGCATTGGATGTTATATCATATGAGCATCTGGTTACCCACATTTCTTCTTCTTCTATTCTTCCAGTTATCTCATCAAAATTTAGGGTAGGTATGGATCTTCTGCTTTCTCTTTCTAATGCATTGTATAAGTTTTTCTTGATTTCTTTAAGGCTGTACTTAAAGCCATCATTCCATGTTTTGCATGGTCTACCCCTTGCTCTGTGTTCATTTGGGGTTTTTTTTTCAGCTTGGCTTTCTATGGCAGTTGATAAGTGGACATTGTCCTCAGATGGTCAGACCATCTTATCTGCTGCTTTTTAACTAATTGTATGATTGGCAGAGTTTTGGCTGCCTTGGCTAGCAGCTGGTCTACGAGGGAAGCTCCGACAGGCGGACAGATAGAGCACTGCTCTTCTGGCAGCTTCTGCAACCTGCCTCGTTCCAAATGTACTGGTTTTACCTTTCCTTCGGAGTAAACAAGGCAGGTCGAGGGAGGGATCATTACTCATGGGCAACATATGGTCTCTACAATACTGCCCAGGCTTTGTGATTGGTTCCAGTCCCCTCATTTCTTTATTTTTAATTTCAATCAAACTCCACACCATGCCTGCTTGCTGAGCAAGAGCATAAAACACTATAGCTCCAGGGACTGCACCCTGAATCTCTGAAACACCTACACTTGCAAACCAATCTTCAACACTTGCAAACCAATCTTCAACACTTGCAAAACTGTCTTCAACACTTGCAAACCAATCTCAAACACTTGTAAACAAATCATCAATGCTTGTAAACCAATCTCTAAGGCTTGCAAACCAATACTTGCAAACATATCTTCAACATTTACAAACCAATCTTCAATACCTGAAACCAGTCTTCAACAAAATGAACTGACAAACTTCATAACGTGGGGTACTTAATCACAGAGACTCTGCACCAGCTCGTCTTTTTCTTCTTCTTCACTTTTTCTCTCATCACTCTGGATGTTGAGGGAGATATAAGGTTTTGCTTTGCTTCTTGCTTACCAGCTCCGTAAACAAATTTAAATATTTTATAATTTATCTTCAATTATCTAAATTTACCCCTAGCTCCTCTTCATCCTGCATTAGTCTCAAACCAAAATGCAAGGCTTCTTCTTGAGCTTCTTTCTTGAATAAGTTGCTTTTGTCACCTCTCAGAGAACTTCTTCGCATGGATGCACTGAAAAGTAACAGAAGATAAAATTTTTTACTATTAATGGATCAAGCGTTGAGAAAACAATGAAAAATTATTTATTTGTTCTCTGATTATTTGCCTAGGCACAGATCTTCTGGGACAGCTGCAAAGATTTAGTTTCAGCAAGCGGAAATCACAAGCAATTAATGTTTTTTAAAAACAATAAGTTCAAACAGTTAATGCATAAAATAAAGATTGTACAGTCCCCACAGTGTGCCTGTCAAACAGGACCACAAACACCTGAGCACATTTGGCAGACCTGCCCACTCTACATACAACTTCGAAAAGACACCTGGCCTCAAGAGCAAAGTGTGCAGAGCAAGCTATAGGGGAACCATGAAGGACCTGCTACTGACATGAAGTTCATAGAGGCAACCCACCTGATGGTCTGATCTGAGCATACAAAACTGAACGCAAAGAAGAAGAAGAAGAAAACAGTTAACCGCACTTCCATCTTCACAGCAAACATGTCACCCCATAACTGCTCTGTTCTAGTGCCAGCAAAACCACACAATGATCACTGCTGCCCAGTGTGAAAATACTGAAACAGACTGCAGTCTCACAAAAGCCCACAGCACACACACATTAAAGGCAGCCAAACAGGTTTGAGATTTTGAACAATGGATCAACATCATGGCACACGGCATCTAGACCCTCATCTGTGGATCCAAAAGTCATGGGTTCAAATCCAAACAGAGCTGGACTTCTAAAAAAAATGACTTAAGGTTCTCAGGATGATCCAGCTTTAAATGAATACCAGGTAGAATTCCTGGGAAGTAAAGGTGGCCGGCATGATGTTGACCACATCAACCACTGAATACAGATTAATCAATAAAATATAGGTCTAGCCCTATATGCCCAATACACCTGAAGGCATGGGAAAAAGGTCCTTTACTTTGTGACTATCTATAAGAGTAACAGTAATTCAATGGCTAAATGTTTAGCCCGTAAGTGCTCCATTCTTCTTCTTTTCAAGTTTGAGTCTAAAGAAGCTCAGCAACAGTACACAGGATCCGTAGCACCGGCGAGGATCCTGAAATACTTTGGGTAGATTTTTAACTCCAAATTTTGCCAGGGCAGCACCGTTACGCTACAGGCAGCCATCAGAAGTGTCAATATAAACTGCCCATCATTAGAACTGCATACAAATTGTATAATAATAAATCTATTTTAAAGCATGAGGTAATGAATATTATTATCAAAGTAACCATTATAAACCAAACCCATATAGTGTGACCAGAATAATTTCTCAACTAACAACAAAATAAATTAAAGGACTAAAATAAATGATTATAGTTTCTATATATAATACCAAAAGTGCACTAAAAATACTTCAATTTCTATAGATCCTGCATCTATCTCCCCTGTTGACACACAAGCAGATACCCCGAAGTACTAAAGTGAATCTTATCAAAACTATTTTTTGGCCAAAACGTGGACAACAGAGATGAAAAGCCTTAGAAGAGCTGCAGGAGTTTCAATGAAAGACAGAATACGAAATCAGACAAATGCTAGGAATAAAGCCAGTCTTACAGGTCATCAAAGAACAATAAATGAAGTGGTTTGGACACCTAACAAGAATGCCCTGGTATTATCTGCCACTGCGAGCCACACTAAAACGTTACAACGGGTATAGAGTGAGTGGAAGATCTCGGGAAATATGGAGTGATGGCATTAAGAACAGCCTTCCAGAAATGAACATCAGTCTTAATAGTGCTCTTGACAGAGCTCATCAACTAATGTTACATCTTCCCCCAACACTTTGCTGAGGTACAAGATGGAAGAGAAGAAGAAGAAGAAGACTATAGATCTTAATTATAACTCAAAGAAGAGTACAGGATATCATTCATATGAATACCACTACTACTATTATTACTACTTCTATTAATACTACTACTATATATGTAATCTGACTGGCAAACTTTTAACTGTATGCCGCCAATATTAAAATGTTTCTTAGCATTGGGTGTTAGAGAATATACGAGGTCTGACAATTAAGTAGTGTGACTAATTCCATCAAAATTAAAATAATTAACAGTGAAAGATATAATCTGTATTTTAAAAAAGTAAGCCCCGTGTGCACTGATACAGTGAGTAGTATGATCTAACAGACACTGGAATGACCTCTGTAGTTCTCTATTCTTATGGCCCTTAAAGTCGATGCTATGGTCCTTTGGATGTCATCAATAGAGTCAAAAACAGTGTCCTTTCAATGGAAACATTAATTTTGGGAATAGAAAATAATCACAGGGAGATAAATCTGAGGAATATGGTGGCTGTTTGAGAACACACACTTGTTTTGGGGCCAAAAATTCTTGTTTTGATGATGTCTCGTGGGTACTCAAACCGCTGTTTTTGGTCATCAGTCATCAAACAACGAATGCTATACAAACCAGCAAGCATTGTTTTTCTTGCTAAAACCTAGCACAAAAATTTTACGAAGGGTCTCTATTAACTCCAGATTAATCTGCTATCATCCTGACAGTAAAACAACGATCTTCTTGGATCTGTTCTATGACGTTTGCAATGAATTCATCATTCGAAACAAAAATTTGGCGTCCAGGTCTAGTTGCATTAGAAATTATTTCTTCACCTCTTTTGAATCGTGAATACCACCTGAAATTATGTGCACCAGATAAACAATTATCCGCACAAACTTGTCACATCAACTGAACTGTTTCAATAGGGCTTTTTTTCGAGTTTTAAATATAATTTAATGTTAGCTTTTTGCTCCATACTGATTACATAACAATGCACCTCTGACTAAGTCAACAAAAGGTGGCTTGTTTCTTGTCTGCTTATCGGGCGGCGATGAAAGGTTTCCAGATCATAAACGAAGGTTGCCTCTTTGGATTCTATGCTTTCTTCATAGATAGCATTTTTGGCTTGGCCATAAAAAAATCAGTCTCATTACTTAATTGTCGGACCTTGTACATTTTAGGGTCTTGCATAATGTATTGAGAAAACAGGGATCTAAGAGAAACTCTTAAGCTTTAATGTTAATGAGAGCACCACATCAAAAAGGGATCTCTCAAACAGCCCCTTCTGTTTGCTTTATATAAAGTACTTTTTAGTGTCTCTGATATTTCAGTGGTCCATATTCAGCGTGGTCAACCTCTGGCTCTGTTACCATTGTATCTGCAATACACTGCTCTCTGTGGTGCCCTGTCTGATGCCAATCATGTTATACGGCCAAAACCACCGTTGTCTACCTATAAAGTTCAGTATTGTTTCTGTGCTGACTCTCCTCCTTTCATCCTCCTTTCTACGTCAATCTATCCTCATTACACCTAGCATAGTAGGTAAACATTTCATTTCTGTCATGAGTATTTTCCTTCTGTCTTCTGAAAAAAGTATCTATGTTTCACACTGACAGCACAGCATTGGTAAGAATACTGTGTTAAAGTGTTCTTTTAGTGTTCATATTCACATGCTTGCATTTCAAAATTGGTGTCTTTTGGCCTTAAACCTGGTTGGCTTTAATGCATTTTTGTTGGATTTCTTTATTAATTCTTCCGTTTATGAAAAAAAACTGTCACAAATATATCCTTTGATGATGATTGATTTAATTTTGCTCTAGGGCGTTCTCTGGGATGTAGCAGCCAGTTTCATGCTCAACGGCCCTAAGCTGCCTATGATGGCATGCATGACATTTTACAGTGTTACTATACTTTGCTTCTCTAAAGGGCTTAGTAACACTTGCAAGTTACATGGAGATCTAAGCAGCAAATAATAATAGTGATCCTAATAAAGCATTAACATTATATTATGTCTATCTATGAAAGCCCTGTGGTGTAACATCTAGACGCTCTCCTGTGGATCCGAAAGTCATGGGTTCAAATCCAAACAGAGCTGGACTTCTAAAAAAATTAGTTAGGTTCTCAGGCTGATCCAGCCTTAAATGAATACCACCCACCGAGTACAGATTAATCAATAAAATATAGGTCTAGCCCTATGTGCCCAATACACCTGAAGGCATGGAAAAAGGTCCTTTACTTTGTGTTTATCTACAGAAGTCACAGTAGCGCAATGACTAAATGTTTACCTGCTGGCCTGGAAGTCATAGGCTCAAACCCAAACCAGGGCACATTTTTTTAATGTATCTGGTCTCCGAGGATAACCCAGCCTAAAATGAGTACCACAAAATGTCTTGGGGAGCACAGAGGGCAGCAAAATATGACCACACTTCCCACCAACAGCTGATAGTCACTGTCGATTAATCTGGGGCCACGGCATTTGAATATAAGGACTTCATAAAATATTGCTAGGCAAATTTTAATGAAATCATTCAGTTGATCTATGCTATTTCTGTCCCCCTAATTTTGCAGAATAATGCTCTTTCTTTTTTTTTTTAAGAATGGGTCATACTAGCAGTCCATCCTGTTTAAAAATTTGTCTTGATGGGGGATTCAAACTAATCCTACGTGAGCTGGTAAGCAAGCATACTAGCTACAATACACTTCAAAACTCCTAAGTTTTCTCTTTACTGTATTAATAAGTGATTTAAAAAAAAAAAAGGTAAAGGACCAATTTCCACGCCTTTAGGCGTATAGGGCATATAGAGCTAGACCTATATTTGTATAGACTGGCACAAGATGGGTGATGTGGTCAAGATCATGTCGGCCGCCTTTACTTCCTGGGACTTACCTGGTACCCACTCAAGACTGGGTCGACCTGGGAGACAAGGTCATTTTTGAAAAAAGTCCACGACCCTCTGATCCTCGGGGAGCATCTAGCCACTCCACCACGGCGACTACCTTACTGTATAAATAACTGACCAAATTTTCCCTCCTCACAATTTAAACTATAAAACATCTTTTACAGTGATTCCCAAACTGTGTGCGCAGGGCCCCGGCGAGCCGCGACCTCTTCACAGGGGCGCCGCTAAATATTGTAAAAGCTTCATAATTAATTTAATCAAGACAAAAATAATCATACTTTACCACAGAAACATTTTAATTGAAAAAAAAAAAGGCGCCGCGACCTAGAAAAGTTTGGGAAAACTGTCTCATAAAATTTCTAATGACCAGTGATAAAAATTCTTGATATTTTCTGTCATCATTACAAATTCATGTTTAAGATTTAAAGCATTACATTATAAAGTACTCAAAATATTAATAGTCAGATATCACTGTCATGCACAATCTTCATACATTAACTACAGTATAGAAAATATTATGACTGCAAGATGGAGTACATCAATCCACTGCATATGAAGATCAGCAGTAGTGAATTTGCAAGAAGACAAGGTCAGGTCACTCATAAAATAACTGTTAATATGATGGATAAAACAAATATAAAAATATCTTGCCAAGCTCGTAAAACAGTTTTGTCTACCTGAAAGATAATATAAGCATGATATTATGGCTGTACAGGAAAAGTCTATACAGAATTAAAGCTGTTGCCATCTACAGTCTGGATCAGTTTCTGAACTGTTGTTGTTGTTATTTGCAAGTTTCTCCCAACCAACCCCCACCACCCCCCTTCCCTCCCCCATGTGAGTCTGGGGAGCTACAACTCTGTGTATGTTACTTTTAAATATTCTTTCCACCATCAAATTTCTAAGAGCAATAATTTATCTTGGTGTTACCCAAGCCTTCTCTAGCCACAACACCATGGCAGCTCATATATATGTGTGTGTATGTATGTGTATATATGTTTATACATACACACACATATATGTTCGTGTATATATATATATCCTTACACACACACACATATATATATATATATATACATATATATATATACACACACATATATACATATATACTGAGAGAGACAGCAAGAGACAGAGGGAGAGAGAGATTATATTTATATTTTCCCATAATAATATGAGTGTTTTAGCCCCAAGCTACAGAGACAAGATCACAAACTCTGAGGTATTGGAAAGAGCAGGTACTACAACAGTCTTCTCACTGCTCAGTCTACAAAGGCTCAGGAGAATGGCAGAATCCCTAAGGAAATCCTTGATGGTGAATTAAAGACGGGTAGATGTCAAGGCTGATCTCTACAAAGATATAAAGATGTGTGCAAGCAGGATATGAATGATACAGGTACTGAGGTGGACTTGTCGGAACAAAATGCCAAGGACCGTGTTGTGTGGAGGGGGCACAACAGGAAAGAAATGAGAATGAAGGAAGAAATGACTGCAGAAAGGATGAGAGCTGAACGTCTGAGAAGAAACAAGACTAAACACAAGTGTTGACAACAATGGTCCTGAAATCTCATGCTATAACCGTGGAAGACTTTTTTTTTAAACTTAACATGGGCGGATCTTGCTAGTCAAACTCGCTATCGCCATGGGCCGCGAGTCCCCTGCCCCCTCATAGCGCACTATAACACTATTGTCTGGAAAGACGGAAAGGTACCAATGGAATATCAAACATTCATTATAATTTTATAATTTATATGAAAATAAGCAAAAGCTGTTATATTTAAAACCAAATGCAGTTTTATAAAGTAAGCAAAACATTTAAAACAAACTGTATCACAATACAAGGTGTTAAAATTTGGTTTAAGGTTATGTGAGTACTGTAGGTAACCATCAACCCAAGATTATTAAAGTGTTGTTAGTTAATCCTCTCACTTCAGGTCAAATGCAATGAAAAAAACCTGATATAGCCATATAAGGAATTAAACTCTACCTTTAAATTACACACCTGCCCTACACAGTCAATGATTTGGTTTTTTTTTTAAAGTGAATTAATTAATACAAAAACTGAATACTGAGATAATATGGAGAAACTATTTAATTTAGGCCTAATTTATGAGTGGGTCCATTGTACATGTTAATCCCAAAAAATAAAAGTTCTTAAATATGAGAGGTTATTGTGCCAATACATGTCTTTCTTCAAACACAATGGCAACTACAAAATCTGGCAACAAATATAGAAGCTAATCAATTTAACAGATGTTATTTCACTGCAGTCATGGACCTTCATTTTGAATATATTATTAGTTCTAAATAATATATTTTCCACATTCATCAGATCAGATCACCAGACTAGGTTGCAAAGAATCTTACTGTACAAATGAAACAAGCATTTGACCATTGATGAGAGAAATGCAAAGTTTAGTAATAAGAGAGGATGAGGGATAAGTGGTTACTGTCCAACCTGTTGCTAGTTTTAGAGTTGAGAGATGAATTGGAGCTATACATAGAGTCTTGGTGATGGTGGTGAATTGATGCACTGAAACAGAAACATGGACATGGCACTAAACACAACGGAAATCAATCTCATGATAACAATTAAGTTCAAGTTGAGAAGAAGTAATTTTTTTTTCAAAAACATCCTGTTCAACCCTCAGGGTTATAATTAGGATATACAGTGTTAATTAAGTTCTCAGAGTATATATTTGTTTTTTTTTAATTTATATATCTGGTAATTATTTATACAACTAAAATATACTTTCTATTGTTTCACATTCTGCTTTGATTTGGATGCGATTATGATACAAATTGTAAAAGTAAAGTAAAGGTCGCTTTTCTACGCCTTCAGGTGTATAGGGTATATAGGGCTAAATCTATATTTTATAGACCAATCGGCACTCTGTGGGTGATGTGGTCAGCATCATGCCGGCCGCTTTTACCTTCCAGGACTGTACCTAGTACCCACTCCAGGCTGGGTCAACCTGAGAGCCAAGGTCATTTTTTTTTTAAAGTCCAGCCCACGTCAGGACCAAACCCACGACCTTCCGATCGGCAGCCAAGCCTCAGCCGCAAACCACGGCAGCTCCTAAGACAGAAAATATACTATGAATAATCATACGATCTTATTAACATTGTGTTATTATAACATGGTGGATATATTGTTTCCTTAGTGTGACTACTCTGCTTGATTTTATCTTTTGGGGAAAACTTCTTCAAAGATGCCATTGGCATTCTTTACTCTTCTATATATGGATCGAGAGGATCAACTTTCATTGCACTGCGTGTGCTCAATATTGCTCATTCTCTCTCCACAGACTAAGTCGATGCGAACGCTTTGTAATGCTGGAATGCCGGCTTCGATCCCAGCTGTGGACCATGCGCTTGCGTTGGTTTTGACAGTGGTATCAAAGAAGCCAACCATCCAGAAAGCAATGGCAAACTACTGGATGTAAATTTGCCTAGAAAAACCACACAACAGCCAGGGGCTGTTGGGGTTGGTTCTGCAACAGCCTGTAAAGGATAGGCAACTAACCTTTCTCCACAGAAAGGCTAGCTAGCTGCTGAGAGTACAGCACAAAACATGAACTCCGTAGCTCTAGTAATGATCTCCAGGGACCTGAGTAAAAACTGCACATGTGAACCAAACAAACCCATGACTTTCAGAGCATGAGGCAAAAGTCAAGACAACTTCACCATGGAGACCTTGAAAACATTTCATTTATATGACTATCATTTTTTTTGTGTCAGTATGATAAAGCTCTGGATTATTCAGTGATATGAACAAAATGTGGTTGTGTCTGAGGTAACAGTAGAAGTAGGTTACTGACTGATATCCAGTTCAAACCTTCTGGTTTATAACTAAAAGTTATAGCTAAAACTATGCTTGTAATGATGTTCATGATATGTTTATTTTTCCTACATATGGAAACTTATGGGACATCCTGTCTAGTTTCACTGGTTATAAGCTTCAAATCCAGCTGCGACTCGCTGCAGCCCACGGTCCGTGTTCCAAACCGGGCGGTTCGAGGAGTTCACCCAGCCTCTAGGAAATAGGTACCATAGTTGACACTCTGGGGTAAATGGAGAAACGTCGCTGTAGCTACGGAGTTACGTGTGGATGGCGACACAGGCGGACAGTTTCTTATCAGCTGTCTGTACTGGTGGCAGAGCACTTATGGTTTATAACCGTGTGCAATGACGCTGGTTCACATCTCCTGACTTTACCTTTACCTTTTGTTAAGCTTCAGTGGAAAGTTCTGAATATCTATCATCCACTTCTTCTTCTTCTTCTTCTTTGCCTTCACCAGCTGTACATTCTGGTGTAAAGTTCTGGTTGTTCGTCCACTTCTGGACTGCAGTCCTGTTCCAGAACCTGAGTGTTGCATGTGCATCAGTTTTACAGATCTGATTCTCTTGAATGCAGACTGCTGGTTCCTTGCCTCTCAGGCAGATGCACTCCGACTTCAAAGGAAGCTCCCCAGTTAGTCGACTCTTACGACATGCTTTTGGGGAGGCAGTGGGTCTATTCTTGTTTTCTCCACAATAGGGCCCCGGAACCCACACAGGGGGTCCACTTCTGAACTTTAGTTTTGTTACGGAACTTGAAATTTGCATGCACATCCATTTTACATATCTGGTGGCTCATCGCCCCTTAAGCAAATGTGTTACTACTTTGGAGAAAAATCTCAAATTAGTCATCTCTTATGACGTGCTTGATAGGGAGGCAATGGGTCTATTCTGTTTTCTCTTCCCAAAATGTAGCCCTCGAACCCACACAGGGAATTTTTCTATTTCAATATTTAAAGCATGTGAGAAGCTCACATATATTTCTAGAAGCGCTAAAGTAAAGTGTAAAATAAACTTGGGCTACAAGCGTCTACCTCTAGAAAACAAATAAGTTAAATCAAGGAGGTAAATAAAATACCACATATGTATCAAGCGCAAGACATGCAGCACCTGATGGTCTTAATTCAGTCTACTTTCTTAACTACAAGCTTTCTTCTCTAGCCAACAAATACATGAATTTCAAGGAAGTGGTGGGGGAGAGGGGGGGGGGGAAGAGACACCACACACATTTAAAGAGGAAGACCTACAAACAGAAAGCTGGAAAAATAAGCTTAATCTCCAAACCACTAGACTCAATATAGTTACTGAAAGACATAAAAAGACAACCCCTTCTGTTACATCAAGGTAAAAATGATGAAGCTGCTGGGTCCCCAAATACAACAACTTTAACAGGCTAAGTTTGGTTATGTAAAAACACTGTTTTTCAACTGGTGGGCCATGTCTCACTGGTGGGCCATGTCTCACTGGTGGGCCATGTCTCACTGGTGGGCCATGTCTCACTGGTAGGCCATGGAAAAAGCCCAGGTGGGCTGCCAGAAATGTCTGCCTAATCACATAACATAGTAGTATATATAGTTTTCCTCTCCCATGACTGCTGTTAAAGGATTTAACACCCCAAGGATGAGAATCAAACAGGTACACATCATAGAAACCCTGTTCAACCCCTTAATACAGTAATACTGAGGCACCCGACGGTTACGTAAGCTATAATCCAGTCTGGGCTGGGGAAAAAGGACAATAATTAAATGATTCCTACATAGTGTGGCATTCTACGCGTCAATTTAGTTGTGTTTTATTAGCTGTCAGGTGGGCTGTGAAACAATTTCCCTTGCTTCGGTGCACCACGAGTGTAAAATGGTTGAGGCATACTTCTTCTTCTTCGTGTTCACTGGCTGTAAACTCTTGTGGAAAGTTCTGGTTGTTCATCCACCTCTGGACTTTAGACTTGTTCCAGAATCTGAGTGTTGCATGCACATCGGTTTTATAGATCTGATTTATTTGTATGCAGACTTGGTTCCTTGCCTCTCAGGCAGATGTACTCCGACTTTGAAGGAAACCCCCAATTAGTTGACTCTTACGACATGCTTGCTGGGTAAGAAGTGGGTCTATTCTTGTTTTCCCCCACAATGGGGCCCTGGGACTCACATGAGAATTGAGGATTACTGATCTAGTTCTTGTTAGACTGAGATCTGAAATCTGGTGTCAAAGACAGCAGACCTGGTGGAGATAACCACTAATAACAAGGTCCTTTGTGTTGAACTAAGAATCGACATCACAGCACTCGGAACACTGCCATAAGTGCTCAGTCCCCATCTTCAGCAGCAAACGAAGAGTCCCAATTCTGATGGTACCAGTAACCGTCTGACTGTATATCTTTCTCATCCTTCCCCTGAGTGTTGAGCATTGGCCAGATCCCCTGGTAACTCCTCACAGTGCCATTCTCTGTAGACCGTAATGATCTATCTGTGCCTCCGCACTGTACACTTACTCCCAAAGGGCCCTCACAATATGATCGTTTGTGTGAAAGAACGTAGTCCATAACTAGTAAGCATTATCTTGCACTTTTTTCAAAAATAATTTCCAGGTTGGTCCAGCCTTAAATGGGTACTAGGTACAGTCCTGGGAAATAAAAGCGGCCGATGTGATGTTGACCAAACCAAACACTGACTGCTGAAAGGTCTATAAAATATAGCTCTAGCCCTATACACTCACCAAGCCTGAAGGCATGGAGAAAGGTCCTTTACTTTACTTATTATCTCGCACTATCTGAAGGTGAATTTGTGGCAAGGTCGTTATAATTATGTTTTAGTCTTTACTGTGACCCTTAAGTATTTAGTAGCCAGAGTGATTAAACAGGAAGTGCACAATTAGTGTAATGATAATTATCAGGTGGTATAGTGACTAAAGATTAAAATATAATCAGTGATCGTAGACATACTGTCATTCAAGTTTATTAATTCATAGAATATCTGAAAAAAATACTGTCATTCAAGTTTAATTATTCGTAGAATATCTGAGTAAAATAATGGCAGAGCCATTACATTACGCCCTAACCTTTAGTGTGATATATTTGTTTTAGCCCAGTGTGTTTAGTAGCCAAAGTGATAACAAGAAATGAAAATTACATTGTAAATTAAAGTAGCATATTTAAAGATTCAAATATAAGTAATGATTCTATTCACATCGTGATTCAAGTTCAGTTATTTATGTGTCATTTTTTATGGCTTTTAACTAAAGTACTAACATATACCAAACCAAATTTAACAAGCATATGTTTCAAGGCTAACCGCAAGCTTGTGGCAGGCAGTTACAATTAACCACTTTGTGTGAAAAAGATTCAATTATAAGCTTAGTAACATTTATTTCTGTAGTAAAATCTGAACTAAACACTGCAAAATATGGCAAGTAATAAACTGAGTAATCGGTTTTTTCTTCAAATAATGAAGAAATTGTGCTTTAATAAATAAATATATTAATCATAACGGTGAAAGAGCATTTTAAGTGCTTTGTTAGTACACCATAAAAGAAAGCTAATTGCAGTAGTAACTTCCTCTCTTAATGAAGATAATCAAAGTTTTTTTTTTTTAAAGTTGCACTTACTTTCTGGAGTTGTGTTTCTGCCTCCTTGATGATCCAGGACGTCTGCTGGCTCTCTTGGTTTCTATCTCATCTTTGAGGTCAAGAATTCGTTGCTTGATTTCAGGATCTTCACTCAGATCTGAAGCATATTTGTTTTTTAAATACAATATTATACCCACTATCACTATTGCCTTGACTATAGTCATGTTCAGTTTCCTTCAAACAATTTCTTCTTCTTCTTCTTTTTTTTATCTCACCGATATCAGGTTGTAGCCCAGTGTCGTGGTTTTCTGTATTTGTCTTGTGCTTCTTGGGTGGCTTGGGTGATGGATTTGTTCATATTTTTGCAGGTTTCAGTTACACCATTTATCCATGTCTTCCTCTCACCTTCCTTCCAGATGTTTTGCTGTAAAAAGTCTCATATGCAGTTTGGTCTGGCTGCATTCTCACTAGGTGGCCAACCCATTTCCTTCTTTTGTCTGTCAGTATAATCCGGACATGGTCTTATCACAACTTTCTTTTTTTTTTTCATTTTCAAAAACTTTTTTAATGACTATCAAATAGAACGGGGTCTTGGGTAGACTTTCCAAAATAAGAGCAAACCTTGGGTTTTATCTAACTTAGAACCACTACTGTGGGTTGTGAAAAAAAAAAAAATACTTTGTGAGCCACTAGCATTATACCTTTTAGCATTCCTACAATTAGTTATTCTATGAAATTTGTCATTATATCACATTGTGCTTTTAATCTTTTTTTTTTTTTTCAACCGAACAAAGACCCTTGGCCATTTTCACGATCTGTTGGATTCTGCAGCTTCAGTATTCCCTGGGATGCCACACCCAGTCTCATTCCAGCCCGCCACTGCTGCTTCTTATAACATGCAGTGTAAGTGACAGTGCTACTATTTTTCCGAGTGACTCAGAGGCCAGGATGGCGCAATAGCTAGCAGGCTTTCCTGTCTGCTCGGTGTTCACGAGGATTTTATAAAAACTGACCAAGACTCTGAATTTCTTTTCCTTCTTATTCTCTTCCTCTAGCTTGTTAGAGAACACTTTCAGGTAAATGATGCACTTCTTTTTAATGAAATTCTAAAACAAGTTACTTTAAAGAGATTTTTACGGGCGAAAGAGTTAAAAGCAACATCTGGCACAAGCTTTGACTTCCCTCCATAATTTCCAGTTATGCTGCACTAATATGACAGAAAAAAATATATTAAATGGTTATTTTATAATTACAAGAATTTTACCAATACAATATTGACACTGATAAATACACTCACCAAAAGGAGTTTCTCCATTTTTTGTTTTTGCATCCAAGTCAGCACCATTCTGAACAAGAAGTTCCAGAATTTCCAGCTGGGAGAAAAAAAAATGTTCACAATTAAAGAGTTTTGGATAACAAGAATTTAAAAAAAAAATGTTCACAATTAAAGAGTTTTGGATAACAAGAATATAAAAAAAAAAACATGTTCATAATTAAAGAGTTTTGGATAACAAGAATTAAAAAAAAACATGTTTACAGATAAAAAGTTTTGGATAACAAGAATAACTGGACAGAACGTTGCAGCAGAATAATTATCTCTTGAATATTTCAATATCAATTAGGCATCTTAGTTTTACAACATAGTGAAATAAATAAGTAACCCCATATCAAATCCATAAGTGGTGAAAATATGGAGGTGACTGCAGTCAAGCTAATACAAGGAATTCCGGAGAAATTTGACTAAAAAGCTCAACAAAATGGGGAAGCAGAAAAATATGCACAAAACAACACAAAGTAACGTTTCAAAACGTTAGGTTGTGTTGTTTTGTGCACGTTTTTCTGCTTCCCCATTTTGTTGAGCTTTTTAGTCACATTTCACTGGGATTCAAATCCATAAGCCATGTTACTAATTCAAGAATCAAATTAAGTGTATCACAATAATCATCATGTGTCATGCCTGACAGTTAAGAATTCATGTCTCATGTCCCATGTCTCATGTCCCATGTCTCATGTCTCATGTCTCACGTCTCATGTCTCATGTCTCATGTTCCATGAAGACGGTCCGTTTACCTTCTCCAAAATCTTTGTGAGACACATGTTTGTGTCTGTGCTTGTTTTTTTTTTTTTTACAAGATCCATACAGGCAAATTCTCTTAATTATATTTAGGAATACCCTACTGTAGTCAAGATTTTCAACTTCTTTTAGTTGTCTATAAGGGTCACTAATATGAACCCTTTCGCTGCTATGTTCCCTGCCGTAGCTGTCTGCCCTGTGCTAAGCAACGTGGAAAAAAAAGTATCTGCTGTGCGCAATATTTTTCTATCCTCAAAATGCAAAAGATGCATCGGCGGTGAGGGCTATATTTTGCACACCTAAAAAAATTTTACCCTGGGGGGGGGGGGGGTGGCTGGCCCGAGTGGTGACAAGTCAGAGGCACGATGGTGCTCCCACAAACTTGACCAATGATGCTACCACCCCCCTGGGGGTGGGGGTTGGGGATTAATAGGAAGAACTGTTCCCAGTCCCTATCCCAAAATTTGATTGACAAACCTACCAGGCTCCCACTTTAATCATAGTTAATTGTAGTCACCATAAAAAAAGACGAGAACTTGTAGTGGCAGGTGCTTCTCAATTACTTCCTTGCAGAACCTGTTAGTTTCCATTGAGATGAAAGTCATCAGTGATTCCATTAAAAAAAAAATGAAGCAATGAACTGTTTGAATTTACAGTAGCAGAAATACAGCCAGGGCTGTTTGAATTTACAGAAGCAGAAATACAGCCAATGCTGTGGTGATGCATGACACTCTACATGTTGCAAGGGTCTTTTGGGAGTAAGTGAACAGTGCAAAGGCACAAACAGATCATCACGGTCTGAGGACAATGGTGCTGCAAGGAGTGACCAGGGGATCTGGCTGATGCTCAGCACTTAAGGTGAAGAGGAGACGGATATACAATCAGATTATTACTGATGCCATCGGAGTTGCTGCTGAAGATGGGGTCAGAGCACTTATAAGAATGTCCAGCTGTGATGTCGATTCTTTATTCAACGTTCAATATTCAGTTAAAAAGAAGACATGCTATTGAGTTACAAGTACCTTCATCTCTCTTACCTGTCCCCAGTATGCAGCAGCATGGATTACAAGTACCTTCATCTCTCTTACCTGTCCCCAGTATGCAGCAGCATGGATTACAAGTACCTTCATCTCTCTTACCTGTCCCCAGTATGCAGCAGCATGGATTACAAGTACCTTCATCTCTCTTACCTGTCCCCAGTATGCAGCAGCATGGATTACAAGTACCTTCATCTCTCTTACCTGTCCCCAGTATGCAGCAGCATGGATTACAAGTACCTTCATCTCTCTTACCTGTCCCCAGTATGCAGCAGCATGGATTACAAGTACCTTCATCTCTCTTACCTGTCCCCAGTATGCAGCAGCATGGATTACAAGTACCTTCATCTCTCTTACCTGTCCCCAGTATGCAGCAGCATGGATTACAAGTACCTTCATCTCTCTTACCTGTCCCCAGTATGCAGCAGCATGGATTACAAGTACCTTCATCTCTCTTACCTGTCCCCAGTATGCAGCAGCATGGATTACAAGTACCTTCATCTCTCTTACCTGTCCCCAGTATGCAGCAGCATGGATTACAAGTACCTTCATCTCTCTTACCTGTCCCCAGTATGCAGCAGCATGGATTACAAGTACCTTCATCTCTCTTACCTGTCCCCAGTATGCAGCAGCATGGATTACAAGTACCTTCATCTCTCTTACCTGTCCCCAGTATGCAGCAGCATGGATTACAAGTACCTTCATCTCTCTTACCTGTCCCCAGTATGCAGCAGCATGGATTGGTTGCCAAGATTCATTGTCTCTGGAGTCGACGCTAACATGGTGGTCTAAGAGGAACTCTGCAACTTCCATGTATCCATTAGCAGCTGCTACATGAAGCTGAAATATTCACAATATTACTAATGCAATTAAATCATTAGAGTATTTTTTTAGAAAATCGTAGCAACTTAAACGGGTATTTTGTCCTGTAGTTTACAGCAAAGCTGTGATACCTGTACCTTTTGGTTCAACAAATCAGATCTCAGCAAACCCGTGATTAGTCATTTTTATGACATGCCTCCCCCAGTGGGTTCACAAAACCCACAGGGAGAAGAGTTACGACCAATCCCTGATAGTTCAAGGCTTTTGTAACAAGATAGCTTGATGACACTTAAAAACATTCTACATCCATAAGGAATGTCAACAGCTACTGCTACCTACTGAGTGCTTGACTGCAGACTGTTCCTTCTCAAACCGAAGTAGATGTTCTTGATGATGATAACAATGACGATTAAATATTTAAAAAAATTAACATAGTAATGAATCAAAAAGCATATACTGAAATGATCAGTACTAAGACATTATATTGAAACAATGAGATATAAAGTAAATACCAAACACATAAAACTGAAAAATCTTTTCCTTCATCACTGAACTTATGGAAAACACCTCTTACCATAGTGGCTCCCAGTGCATCTCTGGCCTCTAAATCTCCTCCTTTCGCTACAATTTCCTTGATGTCAGCGAGCATCTGTCTCTCTGTGGTCAGTCTAGTGTTATCTATCTGCTCTTGGGTTATGCCTGTGAGAATATATTTAACAGTTATAGAAACGATCATATAAAAATTGCCTTAATAGTTTACTATAAGCAACTGTGGACTAAGTGACTGACTGACGTGCCGAAAATGGGGCTGTCATCAACTCAGAAAAGGCAGCTGTTTTGTGGTGTTCTCTGGACAATAGAATTGTAAAAGCTGGTGTTTCAAACCTGACAGTTCATAACAGTAACATCAAACGAGAAAGCAAACTGAGATACCTGGGTATCGTTTTTGATAGAAGCCTGTCCTTCAGGGATAATGTGGATGCAGTTGCAGTAAAATGCCAAAAAGGACTCAATGCTCTCAAGATTATGGCAGCAATGGACATGGAACAGAGAATGTTGTTCACAATGTTCCAGCATGTGATCCTGTCAGAGATAGCTAGTGGACATGTTATGCTTACCATATCAAAGAGTCAGCTGATGAAACTTGAACGCATACAGAATGAAGCCATGTGGGTGATTCTGGGATGTACAAGAGATACCCTGGTAGTATGTATGCGATATATACTTGCACTGTCTACTATTGCAGATAGGCTCAAAGTTCTGCAGGAAAAGTCATGTTTCAGAGTAGCTGATGACAAGAGGCACCTCCTGCATGAAGCCCTGGATAGAGCTAAGGGTCACAGACTGAAAAGAGGAAAGTCTTGGATGGCGCAAGCTGAAGACACTATTGGACATGTGTGCAAGCTTGATAAATTTAGGTGAGGAGAGGAGTGGATCAAAGTGTCCGATCATATTTCAGACTTGTGTAGGGTTCTAATCACTTTGGGACGTGAGTACAGGGACTGGCCAGCTGGTGCTGCAGAATCAGAAGTTCAACAAATGATTTTTGACAATTTCCGCCCAAGTGATGTGATTGTATATACAGATGGCTCTGTGGTGAGGGGCAGACGAAGTGCATGGGGGTTCATAGCGAAGGCGAATGGACGTCGCTTGGCGCAACAAAGCCTGGCATATGATATTTGAGAATGGAGGTGGAGGTAGTTACTGCTGCCTTCCGTTGGCTTGAGAATCAGCTGTACACACATGTTGTCATTGTAACTGACTCATAGAGCATGCTGAGAAAGGTGGAAACAGGCATGCTCCGTGCAGAGTGGCAAGCATCACTTCAGAGGTTCCGGGTAGTTAGCATCCTTTGGATATTTTCTCCAGGTAACGCCGGTGTGTTGGGAAATGAGCAGATGGATAGACTGGACGGTTCTGCACCACTGGGTGGTGAACTGATGTATGGTAAGCTGGATGTTGTGAGGGCCCTCTGGGAGCGAGTGAACAGTGCCGAGGAACAGACAGATCATTATGACACCGAGAGGAGTTACAAGGGGATCTGGCTGACGCTTGACACTGAGGGGAGGGGCGAGACGGATATACAATCATACTGTTACTGGTACCATCGGAATTTTAACTCTTTGCTTGCTGCTGAAGATGGGAATAGAGCGCTTATGGGAGTGTCCCAACTGCTGTGATGTTGATTCTTAATTCAACATTCAGCATTATAATCATCATGTAGTAGGCCCTTTGCAGAACACTGCTCTTACCATGGCACATTCAGACCCCTGCCAACTTTTCTGCCTCATGAACTTTTATGTCTAGGGTGTCCTTCACATCCTGCGTTCACCTTGACCTTTGCCTTTTTTTTTTCTTCCAAGAACCATAATTCTTTTATTCAAGTTTCAACTGACACCATCATAATGGGTCTCTTCACTGGCTGCTGAGGAAAGGGACAGAGCAGGTGTGGGAATTCCCCAAACACAATGATGTCCATTTCTGATTCATTCATTCATTTTATTACTGTTTCAAATTAAATAGGATTTGAGTTTATATTGTTCTTATAATGAAGTGGATGCATAGCTTGCTTTGACAAAGACAAAGGTAGTCAACGTGATAAACTGCCACCGAGATTTAAGTGTTAGGCTTTTGCATATTTCCCAAAAGGTTAACCTGAGCTAAAAAAAAAAATATCTGAAGAAGTTGAATGTGTAGACCAAAAGGTACAAACATCACTACCATGTAATAAATGAGTACAATGCAATTACATCATTGGATGAATGCAGAAGAAAAAAGAAGTATATTCTGAGGCAACAGTACAATCAGACAGTATTGTCAATTTCCTAATATTTCTTTCTTTACTTCCCCCCCCCCCCAAAAATAACAACAAGGTGGTGCGTTGGGTTATAATTGTGACAAGTTTATGTGTGCCACATAAAATCGCTTAAAACTGCACTTCACCAAGAGCCCTGAAAAGGACTCCTGCAGTGCTGATATTATCAAAGGAGTCAGACAAAAAAACTGTCCAGACCGGTGACAAAGTCATCTACTGGCACCAATGGGTAACCTGGTCACCACTGACTGATGATGATGAAATATGAGCTACATTATTGGAAAAAAGTAGGTCACAAAGCCTGGACAGTCTTTTAGAGACCCTGTTATCCATGTGGCATAATCCCTACTAGGCCGGGCCTTGTCTAATGCAAAGGCAAGATAAGATCAATGTGTTTGGGGAGAGCATGCTGCAGAGGCTCCTGGATCTGAAGAATAGTGTTCTGTCTGTCCTTATACTGAAGCTTCCCTCCTAGACCAGCCACCAACTAAAGCTAAGGGTATAGTCTGCCCTACTATAACATTCAGTTTTCAGACTGTTTTTCTCAATCCAGGATAAGATAAGTATCTGCCTCAATGCACTCCTCTGTCCTAAGCTACTGGAACAAGTGAAATGTCAGGTTTGGTATACGCCACCCAACACTCAGCATTTACAGAGAACATGTAGTACAAAATACTATTATATGGTAGCTCAGTCATATCTGGACCTGGACCTGACTATATGTCAGGAAAGCATACTAATACTTATTTTTCTTCTTCGCGTTCACAGGCTGTAAACTCCAGCGGAATATTCTGGTTGTTCATCCACTTCTGGACTGCAGTCCTGTTCCTGAGTGTTGCATGTGCATCCATTTGACAGATCTGACTCATTTGTGTGCAGATTGTTGGTTTCTAGCCTCTCAGGCAGATGCACTCTGACTTCAAAGAAAGCTCCAAATAGTTGACTCTTATGACACGCTTTTGGGTAGGCAATGGGTCTATTCTTGTCTTCCCTGTAATAGGGCCCCGGAACCCTCACAGGGATAACCACATACAAAATCATAAAATCCGCTTGACGGGACTAGCTTGATCCCAGAGTTTTACTGCAAGAAATCAAACCCTGACACTAACAGACTTGTGTTTGATAAACCATAGCCTAACCTACTTGCTGGCCTCATTCGATCTTTTCAGATAATAGTTTTATATTGTGCTAAGGCCAATGGTCAATTATGGCCAGGAATAATGATCCATACAACAAAGTCTGGGCAGTACTGTATAAACTGTGTTCCCCATGCCATGCAGCATAATCCCTTCCTCAGTCTCCCATGTCATTGCAAAACTCTTCTGTGTGTGCAGTTACCTTCATATGTGTCCCAGGTTGTACAGGTGTTGTTGGCAATGAAAGAGCTGATAGACTGGCAGGTTCCACATTAATTAAGGATATCCGGCCGATGAATCACGCAGACACTGTCAATGCCCTTAGAGAGATAGGACTTCTGAGGATTTTGGTAGAGAGATAGAACTTCTGAGGATTTTGGAAGTACCTTGTCCACATCACTGCTAAGAATACGAGAACTGGGAGTAAAGATCATCACAGCCAAGGATGAGAAAGAAACACACTGGACACTTATAAAGTCTTGTCAACCAGTGTAGGACTGGCACTATTAACCATGTGACGTTGATAAATATATTAAAAGGAGATCTGAGCATCTATGGATGGTCTGGAGTGCTGTGAAGATAATAAACTCATAACTCTGTCTTGTTTACTCCAAAGGAAAGGTAACACCAGTGCATTTGGAACAAAGTATACTGGAGAAGCTGTTGAATCTAAAAAGCAGTCTTTTCCCGTTCCTGTCCACATGTTAGAGCTTTCCTCCTAGACTAACCAAATTCTTTTTTAAAAAAAAAAAGCTAAAATCTATATTAAAAGTTAAGGACTCTTTTCATGCCATTTTCACACTGGGCATGCTAGGCTATGTTTATAGACCAAGTGGCTCTCTATGGGTTATATGGTCAACATCACAAATGTTGCCTTTACTTCCCAGGATATTTTCTGGTTTCCATTTTAGACTAGGTTGATCTAAAACCCTTGTTAATTATAAATCCACCATTATACAGATTCAAACCTCAGAATTTTAGGCTAGCATGGAAGCTCCTAGCGCTACCATGGCTCCCAAAATACATTTCATATTCTTTAAAAAAGAACAAATATACGCATTGTGACAAATTCTTACCCCTTTTTGCCATTTCTGATTCAATATAATCTAACGTAACTTCATCTTCACAAATGTCATAAGGCATATTTCCATCAGCATTCACTGCCAATAATTCGGCACCCCTGGGGAAAAAAAAAGGACATTTCATAAGTACAACTGTCCACATCCAGATGAACATGACAAGATGGAAGACAGCAGAAGAAATGAGACAGAATCTGTAACTGTGGTAAGCAGAGTAGATTCTGATATTTTCTTCTAACTCAACCTTACTTTCCTTTACTCTACATCTTTCTGTGAATTCCAATCAATTCCTTTTAATTTGTTTAACATACTTATTTTCAATTACATTTTTGAGCTAACAAAATGTCAGAATAGCTATAACATTACCTACATTTGACAAAGGCATATTATGATGATGACAGGCTTAAATGAGATGGCTTGTGAAAACAGATGTTTAAGAAAGGAGCTGCAAACTGAACCAGAAGAGACTGTGTGAAAAATGAAGTCATTAGAAGAACTTCTGGAAAAATACTTGTTAAATTCATTTTAAGAAAAAAAGATTGAAATTGCCTAGTGAGGACGAATCTAATGTGCAGGCAGCAAGAGCGTACAACATGAAAATGGAAACATCTAGAGGCAGAAAGAGACCAAGAAGAAGACTGACTGGTGGAGTGACTGACAGTCTGAGACTTCCCAACATCTTCAGAGGCATTTTTAAAAAAAAATTTATGTTGATTTCAACCAGAAAGGATATTCAACAAGCAGCACTTAAAGGCAGCTGAAAACATTGATAATTATATCCATTGAAATGAGGATTCCCATAAAGACAACCTTTGGATTAATAATACCTGCCGACCTGATCATCATTGCAGAAAAAGAAAAGCTGACTGAGTTGTCTTCTGATATCACTCTTTTTATCTCGACGTAAAATCATTATCTGAGTTTTTAATATCACTTTTTTTTTTAAACGGAATATCCATCTCTGTGATATAGACTTCCTCTTAGTGTAAACAGACTGACTTTCTAAGCCATGTCAGTAATAAAACCCAGAGAAAGTGAATGGATGTTACTGCAGCACTTCATCTAACAGAAATAATACTCCAGCCTCGTTTAAAAAATTTCTCTAAGCAGCAGCTGCAGTTGCATTAGCTGAAAATCATAAGTGTGTGACCTCCATGTGGGTTCCCATTGTGGGGAAAACAAGAATAGGACCACTGCCTCCCCAAACCCCAAAGGCATGTGGTAAGAGTCGACTAATTGGGGAGCTTCCTTTGAAGTCGGAGTGCAACTTTCGGAGAGGCAAGGAACCAACAATCTGTATTCAAGAGAATGAGATCTGTAAAATTGATGCACACGCAACACTCAGGTTCTGGAGCAACTGCACTCAGTAGTGGACGAGAACCAGAACTTTCCGCCAGAGTGTACAGCTGGTGAAAAAGAAAAGAAGATAAGTCTTCTTCTTCTTCTTCGCGTTCACCAGCTGTAAACTCTGGTGTAAAGTTCTGGTTGTTCGTTTCTGGACCGCAGTCCTGTTCCAGAACTGAGTTTGCGTGTGCCAGTTTTACAGATAAGATTCAATGAATGCAGACTGCTGGTTCCTTGCCTCTCAGGCAGATGCACTCCGACTTCAAAGGAAGCTCCCCAGTTAGTCGACTCTTACGACATGCTTTTGGGGAGGCAGTGGGTCTATTCTTGTTTTCCCCACAATAGGGCCCCGGAACCCGCACGGGGGAGAAGATAAGTGTGTGACATCTTTTTTAACAAATAACTGCTACATACATGAGTTTTTGTTTGTGTTTGGTTAGCTGTCAGTGGGCAATACCCCCCCCCCCTCCCGATGTGTAAACAAGTGAGAAACACTAGTGTGAACCATGATCTTGAAAAAAAAAAAAAACAACGGTTAACTTTCTGATCCATTCTTCCAACAGGTTTTTAAGTGACTGTTTTCATCCCAGGCTTCAGAAAATAGGATCAGACTTCTTCCTCTTCTTCTTATATATTCACTTTTGCCTTAAAAAGGTAGTTGCCAAGCTGTGTTGCAATTTATAGCTGTACCTTTCAGCTCAAAACTCTGATCTGATTTCAGCAAACTCCTAATTAGCCACATTTCAGGACATCCTTGTAAGAGGGCAATAGGTCTGTTCGTTTCCCATACACTCCAGCCCCCAATCTCCCCCCCCCCCCCCCCCACAAAATGGGTCCATCAAACCCATAAGGGAAGAGTTCAGACTAAAAGCTGACAGTTGAAGGCTTCTCTAGTGCAGGTAACAGAAGCATGAAAATGTTTTACCTGTCTACAAGGTGTTTACATAACGTCACATGACCACAGGTGGCTGCAGCATGAAGAGGTGTCCACATCTCACTGTCACAAGCATTAACGTTAGCACGATAATTCAACAGAAGCTTTAGCATCTCCTCATTGTCATCAATGCAGCACTTAGGAGAAGAAAAGAAAAAAGAACAGAAAGTTAGAAATGGATAGATGAATGGAGAAAATGAAAGTAAAACACTGACTATGAATCATCCTCATCATCATCAGGTGTCTTGCCGACTGGCGTGGGCGATCATGCCTCTCCACAATCCTGCGATCTCCTGCAGCATGTATCAGTTTGTGTGCTGACACACCTCCATGCCATGCAACAAGACTGTCAAGAATCTTCTCTCACTGTCTTCCTCTAATCCTCCTTTCACAGATCTTTCCAGTGGTCACAACATGTTCTATTTTCCCTCTTCTCATAACATGGCCAAAAAATGATGACTGTCTCCTTCTGATGTCTGTGATAAGTTGTTTTCGGGCTCTCGCCTCTTTCAAAACCTATTGGTTGCTCTTTTTGGTTGTCCAAGGTATTTCAAGCATTCTTCTGTATAACCACATCTCTGAGGCCTCAAGAAATTGTTTGGCCTGCCTACCGATTGTCCAGGATTCACAGCCATATGTTAAAACTGGATGTATGTAGCAAGCAAGAACTCTTTTTCTAACTCTCAATTTCAAAGATATATTGCATAAGATGTTTTTCATTTTATAAAATGCATTTTTTTTTTTGGCCTGTCCTATTCTGTTTCTTATCTCTGTGATGCATCTTCTTTCTGATGTCATCCATGTGCCCAGATACTAAAAATTCTGTACTTGTCCCAAAAATAACACCATCGACTTTTATTACACATTTAGGAATAATTCGTTTCTTTGATACCACCATTACTTCTGTCTTTCCATTATCAACCTGAGGCCCATTCTTCCACTTTCTATCACCACAATGTCTATGAATGAGCAGATTAGATTAAAAAACAGTAACTGATGAATAAACAAACAAGAAGATTAAACTTAACAGGCAATGGTGTATTTTTCTGCAAGATGGTGGTGGGTTTCAGGTGATCAAATATGTTGCCAAATGGGTCTAACATTCTAAAACAATTGCACTAATCTGCCAAAGATAGTTTTTACGCTTATAGAACACACACACAATAAGAAAATGTAGGATACAAGGGACAAGAAAATTAATAATAAGAAAAAGTGTCTGCACAAATATATATAAATTTACATTTTCTCTCCGGTGTCACTGAGCTGTACCCTGTCCTGACTTAATGTACTTATGACAAAATATATGTTCACAATTAAGAGACTTACATGATCTAAATATGACAAGAGATATACCAACAATCAATTGACTTACAGAACCTAATAAAGATGTCAGTCATCAAAAGATGCACATGTCCTCATAAAGATGTTAGTCATCAAGAGATGCACATGTCCTCATCAAGATGTCAGTCATCAAGAGATGCACATGTCCTCATAAAGATTTCAGTCATCAAGAGATGCATATTTTCTGATAAAGATGTCAGTCATCAAAAAGCTTCCACTCTTTCATCAACTTGTACACACATACACACTCATATCCATGAGAGAGAAAGTTACAGAGAGAGAGAGAAAGAGAGAGAGAGAGAGAGAAGAGAGAGAGAGAGAGAGAGAGAGAGAGACAGACAGACAGACAGACAGACAGACAGACAGACAGACAGACAGACAGACAGACAGACAGACAGACAGACAGACAGACAGACAGACAGACAGACAGACAGACAGACAGACAGACAGACAGACAGACAGAGATGCACTAAAGAAAAATGCTTTAAAAATTCATACTGAAAATTTTTATATTCACCACAGGAGAAAAGGGAAAGTAGACCAATAATATTTCATAAAACTATATTTAGTCTCTTGGCACAACAAGCCTGGATCAATTTAGTAAACACTAAGGCCATCTAAGGCCACTAAAGACAGAGAAATGTGGATTTACAGTTGAATGTCAAAATAATAAGGTCAACCTAAATGAGTAATCAAAATGCAGTGCAAGAGACCAACACACAAATTCAGATGGAAACATCTAAATATTGTTTGGCCACACTAAGAGTTGAGAGGAATCAGAAGTTTCTTGACAGCCTCTCTACAAATTACAGAAAGATAACAGCGGATGATTTGGCACATCCTACCACAGAGTGAGAGCTGTAAAGATGCATGATCATCCATGCCAGCTGACTAGACGATGATGAAGATGGAAATGTCCCAGCTTATGATAATCATACCTGGTGCAAGGCAGTCAGTCCATCTTCATTAGTGACATCAGGGCTCACTCCATTCTGAAGCAACCTGTTCACTGAAATAAACAACAAAACATCAATACACTAGTAAAGTAAAGGACCCTTTCCCAGGCCTCCTTGGGTATTGGGCATATAGGGCAAGACCTATATTTTATAGACCAATCAGCACTTGGTAAGTGATGTGGTCAGCATAACGTCGGCCACCTTTACTTCCCTGGACTTGTACCTGGTACCCACTCAAGCTGGGTCAACCTGGGATCTAAGGTCATTTCTGAAAAAAGTTCGACTTAGTAAGGACCTGAACCCACGATCTTCCGATCCACAGGCTAACTTCTAGTCACTACACCATGGTGACTCCCATAAATACAGCAGAACTCCAATATTCGTCCATGCCAATATTAATATGTGTGTGTGTGTGTGTGTGTTTTTTGTATTCGTCCTGTTTTTCGTTGAAATTTGAGTTTGACACCCGCCTGAAAAGTCAATATTCGTCACTTCTCCAACGTGGCCAGCGAGTCATCAGATGAGAAAAAAAAAAGACATGGGCCAGTTCCGAGTGCTGACATTAAATAATGGATGTCTATTTGGGCCACAAATGTAGGTTTTCATCGATAAATAACACCCAAACATCGCCACAGTTAATCAGCATATGAATTCATTAGATAACGATGCCTTGTAATGATAGTTCTCGCTAATCACAAACACCAGCAGCCCTTACTGCATATCGGTAGCTGCCGTGGTGCGGCCAGCTGATGCAAAGGCCGTTTGTTCAGGCTCTGACGGAGCTGGACCGTTTTTTCAAAAATGACCTTGACTTCCAGGTTGATCCAGCTTTAAACAGGTACCAGGTAAAAGTCTTGGGAAATGAAGGCGGCCAGTGTGAGGGTAACCAAGTCACCCACCGAGTGCCAAATGGTCTATCAAATATAGGTCTAGCCCTATATGCCCAACACGCCTTGGGGCGTGGAAAAGTGTCTTTACTGCATATCGCCATCAAACAGATCAACATTTAGCAGTTTATGGAAGAAAGGTTAGTTGCGTATCCTTTACAGGACGTTGCAGAACCAACCCCAACAGCCCCTAGCTGTTGTGTGGTTTTTCTAGGCAAATGTACGTCCAGTAGTTTGCCATTGCTTCTGGACGGTCGGCTTTCTTGATACCACTGTCGAAACCAGCGCAAGGCGCATGGTCTGCAGCTGGGATCGAACCCGGCATCCCGGCATTACGAAGCGTTCTCATCGACTTAGCCACAGAGCCAACAGCAGTTTATGAGCAACAACAAAAGTGTTCCCCGCCTCCGGTCTCGGTAAATCCCATGAGTTTCCCCACACAATGGAAGGCAACAGCACCGCATATATGGCCATACGCCTTTGGCTGTAAGAGACTCTTGACCTGGGTCATGCCAGCGTGCTTTGTTAACGGTGTGCGCGTGCTGATGCATACTGTGCCGTATCATCAGTTGCGTGTCAACGGCGGATTTTTACTGTGATAACCGTACTTATGCGACGCCCTAACGCTGACACATCGATACATTAGAGTATAAACCGCAGAGGGGAGCGGGGGGGGGGGGGGGGTGGTCTCTAGTAATTTCCCCTAGCCTCTGTATAGTAAGATCAGACGCCTGTGTGCATTGTTGCGCATGTAAAAATCCCTTGGCAGTTGGAAATCGAAAAGGGTAGCCTAAAGGCGCTGCCCGGGCTGATATATATATATATAATTCATTTATGACTGTCCTTACTCTCATTTCCTCTTTTCGGCGATAGACTGCCTTCTGCATTTATAAATCTTAACGCTTTCCTTTCAGCTTACACTGCCCACCCTGGCGCCCCTACCCCCTCCCCCCATTATTAAAATTTCAAGTACAATAACATCATCATCATTCCAAAACATGTTAAGACTCAACGATTGTCATTCTAATATATGTCACCTTTGGAACAGACAATATTTAAGTAGCTACCAGCTGGGACTGACAGAGTTAACATCTCTGCCAGCCGCTTAACACGTCAAATTCCAAATATACTGTAAAAACTGGGGGCGAGGGGGCACAGGGTGCATGCGCCCCACCCCCAAGTTTTGGCGCCCCTGTGATAAACAGATTACACTGCTGATTGGCACTCGTAGATGCAAAAGAAAGAAACTGAGACGAGTCACACCTTTTTTTCCGATTTTTATGTTGTCTAGTGTCCTTTTCTAACCACTTCTTTTTGCTTATACATAATGTGGGATTTCCCCCAAACACACAGCGCTGAGAGAAATAAATAAACCATTTCCGCCAGGGTTTCTCCGACTACTTTCTTATATAGACATAAGCGCCGGAACTGAGAGTTCAGTTCCCTTGAGGCGCCCCATCCCCCCCCCCCCTTATCATTCATGTTAGGGGGGCGAGCTGATCTTTTGAGCTATGTGTAAAAATTCTCTTTAACAGTATCTGTTTTAGCATTTCATATTATTTAAAAATATATTATATTTATTTGCCATTTAGCACTGTTTTATTTTTATTTTATTCTTAAACTAAGATCAAGCCTTTTGAGGTCACAGCCTAGGAAACTGGTAAGACAAGGGGTGGGGGAGTTAAGTCCCCCCCCCCCGAATGTTTTCTTGGTGTCGGTGTGGGGGCCTCCCAAAACCGTTAGCTGTGAGTTTTATCACAAACACCTATCGCTTATATTTTGAGATACACCCATAAAGCCTTGTGGTGTATAGAGTCGTCATTTCCACCATAAGTAAAGTAAAAATAATTAAAGGTCCCATTTTCCCACGCCTTAGGCGTATAGGGCATATAGGGTTAGACCTATATTTTTGTAGACCAATCGGCACGAGACGTGTGACGTGGTCAGCATCAAGCCCGCCGCCTTTACTTCCGGGACTGCACCCTGTACCCATTCAAGGCTGGGTCGACCTGGGAGTCAAGATCATTTTTGAAAAAAAAAAACGGACGGACGGACACACACACACACACGCACGGGAGGGAGAGACACACAGAGACAGAGACACAAACACACAGAGAGAGCTAAACAAGTTTCCTTACCTTCTTCTGAGTCATTCCTCGCAGCAGCCTCTAAGAGGGCGATGTTCTCTGCAAATTTCACTCGTTTCGATCCAGAACGTGTCTTCTTCCCATCCGTCTGTGGGGTAGCTTTCTTTTTGAACTTCTTGACGCTGCCTTTCTCCAGCTGCTTCTCATACTGAGCCCACCTCTTGAGCTGCTGCATTCTGCGCTTCTTTGCCAGCTTAAGTCGCTCCTGAGCCGACATCCGCTCGATGGATGGCATCTCCTGTATTAACTCAAAGTGTTCCATTGTCATTGATGCATATGACTGATGAACAACCGGATGTTACCTTGAATTAAACTTCACGAAGTATAACCACAACTCGTTTAAATGAAGCTGCGCTTTGGTCACATTTTGCCAGAAAATACGAAAGCATTTTAAAATAAAAGATTAACACGCATATAATGTCCAGTTCGACATTATTATTGATATTTTTGTTTAAAAGACGTAGTAACGAATCTATTACTGCAATGAACACTTTAATTATTTTCTCCCAAGAATTAATGAGTCGACTGTTCTTTCACATTTGTGTATGGTCACATATTCCAACAGCGGTCATCTCACTATTTAAGAAAGTAATTAACAGCTGTCGCAAGAGCCAGTATTAACCCATGAAATCCGCTGGTATCCTTGGAAACAGCACGCTGGTCACGCAAGCTCGGCGGGTCCTTGCTAGCAAGACACACAGCGTGTTTTACCAAACAAACGTGTTAGCACACACATACATATTGATGTTTTAGTGTCCCCGTGAGATCTTCATAACCTTTCACTGTAAGTATCCAAACATCGACTTGTGCAGACGACCTTTATCACATTTTAATCAGCTAGGAAGATGCAATCTGCCTGTTGTTTTCATTTATCCTTTACAGCTGTTTGGTGTTGTCTGCTAACTGTACTGTTTCGTCTGCTTCCTTCCGTACTGTATTGTCTGCTACAGTGCCGTGCTGTCTGCTAACTGCACTGTTTCGTCTGCTTCCTTTCGTACTGTATTGTCTGCTTCAGTACCGTGTCTGATTCTGGACTCTGTTGTCTGCTACAGCACTGTATCGGTTGCTACAGCACTGCGGTCTGCTTCCGGACTACGACGACTAGCATAGAACTGTACCGTCTGATACTGCAGTGGCATTTTGAGACATCACACGGCTAAATGCTAAAAGAAAACAAAGAATAAAACGAGCCTGTAAGTTGAATACTACAATGGATTGTTAACAACAACAACAACAACAACAAGTTTATTTTAAAAGAACAAAACTGACAATATGTATATCAAAATAACAGAGGAGCAGTTACCAACACACAATGCGAGCTGCCCAGTTTGTGTTATAGCATGGGAAAGTACTTCAGTCAATTGATACTTGGTACTTGAGAATGTCCCGGTCCCCTGTGTTAGCGAACATTTTATTAAGCTTCATATTTGTTGTATTCACATCCCGTTGATGAAGATGGCTTTCGCTGAAATGAGAAGGGACGAAGACGGTGTTGACTGTGCTGGTAGCTAAAGACAAATAGAATAAATAAGTAGTAGCCACTGGGAAATAGCTGGGGCAAAGTGAGAGAGAGGAAAGACGAAAAACGTGTAGTAAAGAAAAAACTGTATTGTTAAACACATTGGAAGATATATCATGCAGATATATCAAATAGGTGAAATGTGTGTGTGTGTGTGTGTGTGTGTGTGTGTGTGTGAGAGAGAGAGAGAGAGAGAGAGAGAGAGAGAGAGATCCTTCTGCTTTTCTTTCTCCTCCCCATGCTCGTTTTCCTTCTTCTTCTTTTCTTCTTCTTCTTTTCTTCATCATCTTTCTTCTTCTTTTTCGTCAGCTACTACTGCCACCATCATCATCACGGCCACCACAATTTGTTGCTCTTCTTTTTGATCTACTTGCTACTTCTTTTAATTTGTCTTCTCCACTCGTATAACCCTGCTCTTGGCATCTCTGCACGAAAGAATACCTAGCCTTCGGGACTGAAGGTGATGGGTTCAAATCTACATAGATGCTGCATTCCAGACACATTAAATATCTAAATTATTATATAATGTAGAAGCAAATACTTTAAAATAGAACTTCTAAAAATGTGTGTAGGGGTTGGGGGGGGGGGGGGGGTGTTAGTTCTACATAAACGTTAAAGAGCTTAAACACACCCCCCCCCCCCCCATTTTTTTTCTCCTTCCTAACACTGTTCGGTAGAAAAGTCGGGACAGGGGCGAGGCGGGAGGGAGGAGGGGGAGCCACAAAGAGCCTAACTCACCAAATTCATTCGCCTAGTTCTATGGAGGTGCATAACACAAAGTTGGTTATGAATTACTAATTCAGAGGTCCCAATTTCCGACCTTAGCACGCAAGTGACTCAGATTTCCTTTCTCTAGACAGGTTCCTTAAAGAAAAAACGGGCTCTATTACTATGTAGATTAGTCAGTGTCTGTTTTAATTGGAAAAGTTTCAAGTAGGTTTACTGCGAAGATGGTGGCCTGAACTTTTAACATTTCTATTCTAAGAAGACCTCTTCTTCTTCTTCTTCTTTTCTTCTTCTTCTCCTCGTCCTCCTCCTCCTTCTTCTCCTCCGTCTACTTCTTCTTAGTGTTCGCCGGCTGTAAACTCCGGCCGAAAGTTCTAGTTGTTTGTCCCCCTCCTCTTGATCCAGAACTTGAGTGTTGCATACACTAATATTCTGTATCAAGACTAAAGTTCAGGAGTGGACGAACAACCAGAATATTTCGACGGAGTTTACAGCCGGTGAACGCAAAGAAGTGGAAACTTGCCAGTTTGGATGCAGTGAATTTATGTGGCAAAAACTTGTAGTACTACAATGCAAGGAAGGTTGATATATTTACGCAGAACACAAAAAAAACTTATGGTCTATTATTTGTATCGGCTACATATCGGTTTAGGTTTTAGACGATGGATCAACATCATGGCACAAGGGTAGTGACCCATAAGTGCTCCGTTCTACTTCTGACTCAAGCCTGAGTCTGAAGAATCACAGCGCAGTGCACTGGCGAGAATCCTGAAATACTTTGGGTAGATTTTTTACTCTAAATTTTGCCCGGACAGCGACGTTAGGCTACTCTTTTTCGATTTCCAGCTGCCAAAGGATTTTTTACGTGCGTCCGATCTTACTACTCAGAGACCAGGAAAAATTACTAGAAGTCCACGTGAAAAAATCCCCGCCATCATCGGGGCTTGACCCGGGACCTTCCAGCACTCGAGGCGGACGCAATGCCTCGATAGCACGCAACCCCGCTACATATCGAGTTGAATAATACTCGTCTGAAGCAATTTAAAGAATTTAAATATCTAGGAAATATATTCTCGGAGGACGGCATAATAGATCTGGAAAAGGAAACAAGATGGCAACGAGCCAGTACACTTTTATAGCAAGTGACACCATCATTAAGACATCCTAACATAAGTATGAGCGCCAAGAAACAGATTATGAACAGCATTTTCATACCAACACTGTGCTACCAGTGCCAGACTTGGACATTATCAAAGGCTAATTAATCTACGTAAAATTAACTCATGTGAAATGGGATGTATGAGAAAAGCGGCGAACTTAACCATCCGAGACAAAGTTAGAAATGATATTATCAGACAGACTGTAGGAACAACTCCATGCAGCAAAATTCATTGAGAAATAGAAGATCAAATGGTTTAGTAAGAATGGAGCCTGAACAACAACTACCAGTGCAGACGTAACACGTTAAGAGATCTGTAGTGGAATCAAGAGTCCGCCCTAGGAGGATATAGACTGATGACATTAAAAAGCTTCTACGTCGACACGGAATAACGTTTGCCATTGCTGCCCATCAAGCAATGGATCGCAAACTGATTCTCCCCACAACGGTTGTCGGCAACAAGTGGAAACTGATGATGATAAATACTGCAGTGGATAATGTCCCGTTCTGAGAAGAACACAAAAGGAGTATGCACAGCAGGAGTCTACCGATCATCTGTAGGTTGTGCCCCTTTCAACAACTGTTTCGGCCCGCTTACAACCCTAAACAATCTCGGAGGGACGACCTGGGTAAATGATTCACAGGTCTGGGACTTCTGCTGCTGCGCTTACCGGACAATCGGACAAGACGTTATGGTGACTGCAACAGGTACTGAGGTTATGGTGATATATCGTCGCTGCGGTAGCAAATTAAGCGCCCACCTGCACGCAGAGAATGACAAATGGACGGTTGGTTCATCGAACAGACGTTTTTAACATATCCGGAATTGAATAAAAGTCTTATTTTTCGTGGGTCGGCGTCTGTAGCTTAAGCCTTCCAAACGCTAATTCGTAATGCCGGGGTGCCGAATTCGATCCTAGCTGCAAGCGATTTGGCAGCAGATCGTCTTGCGTTGGTTTAGACACTCATCCAGAGAGTCAACCGTTCAGTAAGCAATGGCAAACTACTGAACGTAAATTTGCTTTAAAAAAAACCATAACAGCCAACAAAATTATTCATTGTGGGTTCTAGAGCCCCCACCCCAAGGCGAAGAATAGACCCGCTGCTCCTTAATGGGCACACGTTAAAATGCCCTTATTAAGGGTCTGTTGTAACCGGATGTGTTTGGTTAAAAGGCGAAAGAAGAAGATAAAAAATTGAAAGAAAAAAAAGAAAGAAAGAAAGAAAGAAAGAAAGAAAGAAAGAAAGAAAGAAAGAAAGAAAGAAAGAGAGAGAAAGAAAGAAAGAAAGAAAAGAAAGAAAGAAAGAGAAAGAAAGAAAGAAAGAAAGAAGAAAGAAAGAAAGAAAAGAAAGAAAGAAAGAAAGAAAAGAAAGAAAAAAAAAAGAAAGAAAGAAAAGAAAGAAAGAAAGAAAAGAAAGAAAGAAAGAAAGAAGAAAGAAAGAAAAAAGAAAGAAAGAAAGAAAGAAAGAAAGAAAGAAAGAAAGAAAGAAAGAAAGAAAGAAAGAAAGAAAGAAAGAAAGAAAGAAAGAAAGAAAGAAAGAAAGAAAGAAAGAAAGAAAAAATAGAATAGAAGACATAAAGCAAGATATGCAGAAAAAAAAAGATAGAAAAAAAAGAAGGTAAGAAAGAAAGAAAAAAAAGAAGGAAAGAAAGAAAGAAAGAAAATAGAAGAAAGAAAGAAAGAAAGAAAGAAAGAAAGAAAGAAAGAAAGAAAAAAGAAAGAAAGAAAGAAAGACAGAAAGAAAGAAAGAAAGAAAGAAAGAAAGAAAGAAAGAAAGAAAGAAAGAAAGAAAGAAAGAAAGAAAGAAAGAAAATATAAAAAAGAAAGCAAGACAGGCAGGAAAATAAATAAAGACA